ACTAGTTAACTAGGGCAGTATAATTAATAGTAGTTGTAGTTGAACTACTTTAGTTGTAGTTGAACTAGTTTACTAAGTAAATTAATAAACTAGTTGAACTAGTTGAATTAATAGAACTAATGTATTTTTAGTAAGATAATTAATATAACTAGTTGAAGTACTTTATTTTTAGAAAGAACTAGTTTTTTTTCCTATTTATAGTAAGTTTATATTTAGTAAGAACTAGTTGAATTAATAAACTAGTTGAACATGTCGTATTTTTTGTTATTTTTTAGTTTAAGCAATTATTCGGGATGTATTAGTGATAACTTATACGGTTTCAGGTGACCACCGTCGTCCCCGTCACCGACCCCCTCTGACATCCCCGCCGTCGTCCCAGTCACCGACCCCCTCCGACATCCCCGCCGTCGTCCCAGTCACCGACCCCCTCCGACATCCCCGCCGTCGTCCCAGTCACCGACCCCCTCCGACATCGAGGTGAGACCAGCCAAATATCCTTGTATATCTTGTGTTGTTGCTCAAATAGTATATGTGGTTTCCCAAGTGGTCGTTCATGTTCAGTTTACATCTCCGAGTGGCCTATGTTTTGCCGGAGTGTTGATTAATTTCCGTTCCGGCAAATTTCAGGCGCTCGATATGTCCTTTTTTAGCAAAGGCCATGCCGGATTTTTTCTTGAATTCTGGCATGACTTGTGCTAGAATATGTACACGTTTAATCTTTGAATTATGAACGTAGGAAATGTCATACTCGGACGACGACAGTCTCCCGGGGGAGTGCAGCTGGTGCCACGACGATCGGGGTATGTGCGACGGGTTCGTTGAGCTGGATGAAGATCGGCGCTTCAGCATTAAGCTCGAGGAGACCTTCGATGTTGAAATGGTACGCAGCAACGACAAGTGTTTTTTTCGTAATTAAGCATGACTTCAACTATTTCAACGTCTAATTTTCATATTTTACAATTCGACTAGCTTATTCCATGCCATGCAAGACACTTTGTCTTGGAGAGGATGGGTTTTGAAGACCATGAAAATTTTGAAACAAAGAAAAATACACCTAAGGACCCATCATGATATGGATTTTGAAGTAAATCTGTGCAATGCTCAGAGCGTAACCCATTTTGGTTGCCAAAATTGGGAAGCACTTTGCAAAATGTATGGTTTTTATGAGGGTATGATTGTCACCATCGATCTTGGTGATCTTGACATCGAGCAAGACAATATGGACATTTGGGTCCTTGTTGATATGCTTCCGATTGTACCGCTATGTGAGTTTCTCAAACATAGTTATTAACTAATTTATATTGTTTATTTCAAAATAGTTGATAGCTTATTTCCATTGACAGCTTATTTTGATTCTTCAAAGACTGTGCGGAAGATGGTAGATAAAACCCACTACACCGATGGCACCGAATTAACGTATAAGGAGAAAAATCATCTGATCGCATTTTGTACTCTTCTTGAGAATTACAATAACTATTATCGAACTCCTCCAAATTATGGTGAATACGTGCCACTAGTGCATGTGTTGAACCACGGTAACTTCTCTGGAGATACCCTGGTAAGATTGTTTACTATTACGACATCCGTGCATCTTTTGCATACTTCTAAAACTAGTACATCATTGCTAACTACGAAGTTATTATTATGTTTTTCAACAGAAACTCCCGATGGATTGTGTGCCTCATCTGATGTCTCTGAATGGTCGCCTCTCAGTTCTGAACATACTGCCAGGTAAATCTAGGGAGCTCACCTGTGCATATCGGATTTCTAAAACCGGTGAACACATGATCATCAAAGAATGGAAGAAATGTACGGACATTCACAAGGAGGTTCTTGGAAGTAACATTCAGCGAAAGGCAAGAATTGGAGACAGGCTAATCTCCATTCTTCATAATGGAGAGTCAGGGGCTATCTTGTTTTTTGCTATTTTACCTTAGAAAATGTAGTAGGTCTTAATCGAATGTAGTAGGTTCTATGAGGTACAATATGTTTATTATGTGGTAATGTGTTAGAGTTGATAATGAGGAGTACTTGTGATTATGACTAGTGACCAATTTGCTATGTGATGTCATCGATGAAAACGATGATCTTGAGGAGGTGTTATATGACAATGATGTATTATGATGATAAGTTGTTAATGATATGATGATGATGATGATATTATTATATCATTGGGTGAAAGAACCGCGGATTAGTTTCCAAGTGGATGGACATCCACTTGAAACTAGTCCACGGTTCTTTCACCTCGCGATGTAATAACTCATTATGATGTAAAAACAATCTCTAAATTCCTGTTGTATGAAAACTTGTGTAAAGATGTATGAATACAACATGAAATAAAAAAGAAATAAAATACTAAATAATAGTAGTAGCGCGGGAAAGGAGAAGCGCTACTACTAATTACCAGTAGCGCGGTTCTAAAGAACCGCTACTACTAAGTCAATTTAGCAGTAGCGTGGATCTAGGCGCGCTATTGCTAAGGTTTAGCTGTAGCGCCTTATCAGTAGCGCTCCCTCCCGCGCTACTGATAGGCCTAAAACCCACGTTGCTGCTAGGCTTTTCCCTAGTAGTGATGGTGCTTGGAATGTGCAGAGATTGCGGGAACACTTTTGGGACTTGGATGTTCGCGAGATCCTTAAGATCCGCACCTCACCAAGGAATGGGCAAGACTTCCTAGCTTGGTTCCCGGAGAGGAGCGGACAGTTCACGGTGCGGAGTGCATATCGCCTTGCTATGTTGGGCGCGGCTCCTTAGGTGGAGGGTGCATCTAGCACCTCCCCAACAGGGGAGCGGCCGGTATGGCGGTGCATCTGGAGTGCGAGAGTGCCACTTAAGATGAGGATCTTGGCTTGGAAGGTGGTATTGGGGGCCCTGGCTACTAATGTCTGCAAGAAATATCGTCATATATCTACGAGGGGTTCATGTTCCTTATGCGCAAAGGAGAAGGATACTAGCTTCCATGCACTAGTTGCATGTGTTCATGCACGTGAGGTATGGCTGCATATGAGATCGGTGCTGAGATTACCTTGCCAGGAATTGTTGCAAGACATAGGGCAGGATTGGCTTCTGAATGTTCTCGCAAACTGCGATGAGCTGATGAGGGACTATGTGATCATGTTGCTTTGGAGGATTTGGTCCCTCCGGTCTGACTTAGTGCACAGGAAGGAAGTGCCACCGGTGGCTGCTACAGGTTTATACTTGCAGAGTTATATGCAGTCACTAGATCTCTCCAGGAAATATTCCATAGAAGAGATTATTAAGGGCAAGATGCCCATGATGCAGGAGGAGCGTGCGGCTGTACAGAGGGTGCCCCAGCCCCTTCCATGGCCGCGACCACCACCGGATTGGGTGGCACTATCTGTCGGCGGTTCCTTCTTACAGGCCGATGGGTCAGCAGCGGCCGGAATGATTCCGAGGAAGCATGATGGGAGTGTTATCTTTGTGGCATACCGGTGTATATTCAATTGCAATGATGCACTCTAGGCGGAGCTACATGCGTTGATGCAGGGTATGGCTCTTGCTATTCAGCACTGTGAGCTACCTATCATCGTCCAATCGGATTCTTCGGTGTCCCTATCCGCTTTGTTTGGTGTCAGCTTGACCAGATTAGCTTATGGACACCTAGTTGCTGAGATTCGTCATCTTATGGTAGATAGAGTTTTTATTCCCTTGAAAATTAGTCGTGTGCAAAATAGGGTAGCAGGTCGTTTGGCTATGTATAGTCGTACAGAGAGCACTACTTTTGTATGGCTGGACGAGGTCCACCGTGTGTGGAGGAACTCTTGCCACTTGATTGTAACCCTATGAATATGAAATAAAACTCTTTTACCAGCGCAAAAAAAACACGTCACCTGTTATTGAGCCCGAGCTTAATTCTGATTGTCGGATCGACTAGTATCTCCACACCAACTGGATCACAACACCTTGTTGATGCTAGTATTTTTGGGCCTGGGCCTTCTGTTGGGCTGAGTTGTCGTCGTGGATCTACCTGGCGGAGATTCCCTCCTCGAGAATAGAATATAGTGACTCTCAAATTTCCTGGGCTGGTATGAGGTTTTAGCCCAAGTCTTCAGATTGTTCCTTGTTTTTTTTTCAGCTGACGGATCGAGGGTGGCTTGGTCAACCCCATGATCCAAGATGTATTCCATTATTTGTGGCTGAATAAAACTTGGTTCCCCTAAAAAAAAGCTGACGGGTCGAGGAATCTGGGCTTGAGTTGTCTCCATCCTATGGAGTTGTCTTACATGAAATTAAGGATTATATTTTTAGCCATGAGTTTAGAAACTTAAATGTCGAGGCACACAATCTAGTAAAGCATACATTTACTTTGGGGGTTGACCGTCATGGTCGGTTAGGCCAACCCGGAAATCTTCTCTTCGTCTCTATAAACATTGTGATGATGTAACAAAGCTTTGCACAACCAAAAAAAAAAAAACTTTGCGAGTTTGGGTTTAAAATATCTAAAAATTTATGTCGATTGCAAGTGCATTCTTCAAATTTCAAACCAACCATGGTCAATTAATCTTCAGTTAAATATCTATGTTTGACTAGTGCAGTACGTCCAACCATGTTAGCCATAAACTCTGTTTGAGCAAAGTTATTGTACAGAGAAAGACTATTTGTAGAGGTTGAGTTCCTACTGGTGTTGCTTCTTTCTGACCCAACATACATATAGCTGCTTGTTTGGTTGGCCATGGGAAGTTGGAGGTTCTATGGTAAATACAGACGCCACTGCCATAATCTTATCTTACTTTTAGCAATATTTTTATGTCAGTGCAAGTACAACGTCACAAATGGAGCTGCACAACATTTCTGCAACAGTTTGTCTTGATTATAGTTGCAACCAAATACACAGCGATGGCAACTCAAAGCAACCAGTTTTTATCCCATTTTATTCAGGCAGAGGCTGATGGCCGCTGCAAGGAGCAAGCATTCTTTATTTATTTAGTTTGTGGCAACTGGCACACGACGATCCGTGCAAGTGCAAGGCGTGCTTCACTTCACTGGTACTGGCTGGCGAGCTTGCCTTCCTTGACAATGTAGTTGGGCTCCGGGAAGTCCTGCCCCTTGAAGTACCTCTCCAGCATGTCCTTCACGCCGGCCGCGTACCTCAGCTGCACCACACCAGGTCAATCCTTTACCGTTTTCAGTCAGTGCAGTTAAGCGATGGAGCGTAGCCAGGCTGGGAGGCTGTGTGAAGTGCGACTGACCTGGGCGTCGATGGTGCTGCCGGAAATGTGCGGGGTCATGGCGTTGTTGGGCATGTACCTCCACGGGTGGTCCTTGGGCGCCGGCTGCGGGTACCACACGTCGCCGCCGTATCCTGATCAGAAGAGCGGAAGGATTAAGCAGTTATGTTCGAGAACGGGGGTGGAAAGAAGATGATAAATGTCCTTTTTGTGGGCAAAAAAAGAACATAAATCGCCTTTTTCTGTCTTGTTCAGTTGCTAGATTATTGTGGAACATTTTAAAATGTGCTTTCAATCTGAGAGATATACCAGATACATTAGATGCTGTTATGAAAACCTGGGTAAATACCTTTGGAAAAGACGAAAAAAGTCTGGTCATGATAGGAGTATCAGCGATTTGCTGGACTGCTTGGAAAGTTAGAAATAGTGTGATCTTTGACAACAATAGGGTGAATGACCCCTGTGTTCCTGTTGCTCTGTTTCTTAAAAACTTAAATGATTGGAATATTTTGCAGACAAATCCCGCAAGAAGTAAGTTGATGGAGGCTGGAGTGAAGCTAGTAAGTGAGGTGGCAGAGGAAATTTTTAAAGCAGCTCATGGGTGGCGCCTGAAGACTGGAAGAATCGAAGGGTGACTGAAGACCCCTCTGCTGCGATGAAAGAATTTCTGTTCCTGTCATTTCATTTCTGGCTTGCTTCATTTTGCTGTTGTATGACAAAGTGGATGGTCTTGTAAGCGCATATGCTAAAACTGTAGTGTTGGTGTAGTCTCTGTTCTTATAACAGAGTTGTTAACGCTCTGGGGGCTGGATTTTCATGAATTCAGGCCTCAGATCACTCCCGTAGGTTTCGTCCTTGCCTTGAGGGTTTCGGGAAGGGGAAGGGATGGCTTCTCCTTCTTCCTCAATTTGGCAAAGAAGTCTTTCGTAGGGGAGTGGAGTATCATGTTGGGAAGTTTCTCTTTTTTTCTTTCTTGTAGCAAGACTTGGTGATTTCTATTAATGGAAATCGAAGAGAATGCTCTCTTTTATAAAAAAAATGTTCGAGAACAGCCCGGAATTCATTTGATTTTACCGGCGATGTGCCCGCTTTTGCAGGCCTCCGCGACCGCCTGCGTGTCCATGATGGCTCCACGCGCGTTGTTCACGATGATGACGCCTCTCTTCATCTTGCCGATCTTCTCCTTGTCGAACATGCCCCTGGAAGGAGAACAGGGAAGCAATTACAAGGACAAGAACATGGATCGTCGGTCATCATGGTCGGTTAACTGCTGGCTGCGACGTACTACTTTGTCTTGTCGGTGAGCGGCATGTTGAGCACGACGACGTCGCACTTGGGCAGCATGGCGTCCAGCTCCTCCTCGAAGGCGGAGCCGAGCTCCTCCTCCAGCGCGGCGTCGACGCGGAGCCGGTCGTGGTAGAGCAGGGTGCAGCCGAAGAGCTTGAGACGCTGGAGCAGCAGCCTCCCGATGCGGCCGGCGCCGACGGTGCCCACCGTCTTGCCCTGCAGGTCGTAGGCCCGGTGCGCGACGGCGGCGAGGTCCCACTCCCCGCCGCCGGCAGGAAGTTGCGCAGGAGGACGAGGATGCGCATCAGCTGGTCCTCCGCCACCGACACGGTGTTGCTGCCCGTGACCTCGGCGACGGTGAGCCCCGCGGCGGCGGCCGCCGGCAGGTCGACGTGGTCGGAGCCGATCCCCGCCGTGAGGAGCAGCTCCAGGTTGTTGGAACGGCGTGGTGATGAGCACGTGCGCGTCCCCGATGTGCTTCTCCAGCTCTGCTCGCGCGCGCGCGCGCCCAGGATGACACATGCATGATCGGTTAGCGTGGCACTTGTTAACGTAATGGAAGTGAAGTGATGTGTGTTGTTGATCAAACCAAACTGACCGCAGTCGGGGCCGTCCTTGTCGTCGGTGACGACGTAGTGGTGGCCCTGCGACTCGAGCCAGGCGCGGATGCTCAGCGCGTTCTCCACGCAGCCCACGAAGTCGGGGTTCTGCGCCGCGTGCTCGCCGCCCTTGTACAACACGCCCACGATCTTCTTGCTGCCCTGGAGGAGGAAAGAGAGCAACGCAATCAGCCCCGTGGTAGCACGATTAACAATGGTGGGAGGCGGCTCCAAGGCCGGGACGACCTGCTGCGTCGCGCTCCTCGTGGCCATGGAGTTAACCGGCGACGGCGGCTGGTTCGTGTTCGGAATCGGCTGAACCGGCGCACTGGTAGTGGTAGTGGCACTGGTAGGTTCCGCCGGGGCGGCGGCGGCTGGGCAGAATCAAAATAGCAGCCGGGCGATCGGGGAGAGAGTGAAGCGAACGTGGCGAGAGGCCGCACGGGCGGTGTGACTGGCGGTAGGTACGCGGCGAACGTTTGCGCTGTGCGACGGACACGCGAAGTGCGTCGCGACGGGAAAGGGTGCCCAAGTGGCGCGTCGCTAGGCGGGTAAAGTACGGAGAGACATGGGAGGAAGGCGAGCCGTCCCGTCCCGTCTCGTCGGTATTTTCATCTGCTGTGTCATATGGCGGCACGGCTCTCCCGTTTCCACGGATCCGTTTGTTGTGTACCTACGCTGGCAAAAATGCTACAGAATTCGAGCACGGGCTGGTTTTACGGACTGCTCTCTCGCCAAGTGCCAACTAACCCTCCTGATTTTTCCCTAAAAAAGAAAAACCTACTGATTTTCGCTGGTGGGACCTCTCCTCCCTAATCTCCTCCAAGGCTCCAACGGTCCAACCATGACTCTACCCGTGAGTCCGTAACAAAAATTTTGCGAGAATACGTCCGTAAGTCTAGCATCTCTCTCCCTACGCTGGCCATCTCGCAATTGCTTAGAGCATCTACACCTGTTTCATACGTTCCGGCGGGCCGCTTGGTCATTTATCAGTTGCGTCTTTTGACCAAGACGGCTGGCGTTGGGCGTCTGCCATGTAGGATTGACGAAAAGGTCTCATGCGGACTCGCTCGGAAATCCGGCAGTACGACGGACGTCTTCTGCGTTGGCGCTGCCCCGGCTTGCCACCCGACATTGGCGGACCTAGAGGGTGTGCTGAGTGTGCCGTGGCACACCCAGCATTTTACGGAGTTTTTTCACTATGTCATCTTTTTCTGATCATATTGGTTTTACAGTACTAGAACTAATTCACCTGAAGCTGTACACGTACATGCAAACCTAGCAAACCATAGAAGCATCTCGACTGTTTTTTCTACTAGCAGCACTACGTGTGTGTCCAGCCAAAGACTCCTGTACACATACATGAGCCCAGTAGAAGCTAGCTAGATCAATTCCATAGATCAATGTTGCCAAAAAAAATTGAATCCATCGATCAACTCGATGGAAAGTCTAGCGGGGACTCGTGTAGATCGCAAACAGAAAAAACTAAAAAAAATTAGGACTATTTGGTCTGCCACGTTATTTTTTGAGACAACTTCTACCACGTGATATTTTCAACGCTTTTCTTTTTGCAAAAAGGATCAAATCAACTATAAATATTCACTAGAAGTACAAAACAACTCAAGCATAATAAAAATTACATCGAGGTCCATGGACCACCGAACGACCAGTGCCGCCGACGCGCCGCTGTTGTCGCTCCCCTACCGGAGCCAGCCTGACCTTGTCGATGACAACCGAAAAGTCTTCGTGCACGTGCCAGGAAGTCACCCTGAGGACCAACGCCTCGGAGCCACAGTCGTCGCCGTTGAATCCTGACACCAGAAATAAATCGGAAGAACCTGATACCAAATATCGCCATTCCGTGCGCATGACGAGAAACCCTAACCTCATCGCCCCGAGGAGCTGGCAGGAATCTACGCCGGAGCTCTGTCTAATCCATCCCAACGAACGAACTTGAGGAGAATAAGAGCCCGGAAGACTGACTCGAAGAAGAAGTGTCGTCATCTGTCTGAACGCCGCCCATGTGAGGACTAAAATCCTACCTATCTACTAGCCGGATTAGACACACCAAAAATCCCCTCCCCGTCACTGGTTGCCGGAGCGGCAGGTGGAGAGAAGGCGAATCCACGGACTCGCTGGTGAAGATCGAGGGGAGGAAGGCTTTCCCTAATTGCCTTGCAAGAGGGGAAAAAAGCTATTTTCAACGCTCGTCTGCATTTCCGACATCGCCTCTCCCCGTGCTTCCCTCCGCTTGGCTTGTCGCCCGGTCCTTCCCTTCCTTCCTCCACCGGTCGTTCGCCCCAAAACGCTTTCCATTGACCAGCTGGATGCATGGATCACCCGCATCAGCCGCCCGCTGTGGAGATAGGACATTGCAGCCCATTTAAGCCCGCATTCTTGATCGTTTAAAGACATAAAAACTATTTATCAGTTGAACAAAACAATCGTTACCGTTTTGTTGTAATTGAAGGACTCTTACTTGTTGTTTTGTTGTACTTGCATAACTCAAGACAAAGAGGATTGGGAGTATTATCTCCATTTTGTTGAAAACATGAGGTCAAATAAAGAAGGTTGCAGCTGAAGGGCAAGCCGAAGTTATTCTTGTGTATCTTTCATGTAAGACTATTTGTATTGCAATTTCGCAAATTTGAAATTATTTTCTGAAACATGATATTGTGAGAATTGATTGAGCTATTTGTGTTATTCTTTTGCCATACATGATATGGCACTTAGATTAGGTAGGTTTTGTTTGAAGTTTGCACACCCTCCATTTTTTTTCCTGGGTCCGCCACTGCCACCCGAGAGCAAATCCGTCTATATAACCCGGCCAGAGCCCCGCAGCCCTAGTCCATCCACCACCCCAACCTCCCTCCTCTCTCCGCGCCGCCAGCCCGAGCCCCTCCACCTCCTCCCTCTCTCGCTCCAGTGCTCTGCCCACACTCCGTTGGTATGCCATGGTCCGAAGTAAGATAACCTACTACGCAATGCTCACGCCAGAGCGCTGCGCGGAGATCCAGAAGGAGATCCGGGCGAGACAAGCCGCGCACGCAGCCCTCATCATTGTCGGGCTGCCTCCGGACTCGCCGAAGCCGGAGGAGGAGGAGCAGCCGGGGGAAGAGGGGAAGGACGAGGAGGCGGAGTAGTCGGAGCACCAACTATCGGACTTCAACATGGAGCAAGCGGAGGCGAAGTTCGTGTCCGACGAGATGACGGAGCAGCAATCCATCCTGGAGCCATCCAGGATGAGGCCTATTTGGAGGCCAACCAGGCGTTCCTCTGGCGGGAGCAGGTGGAGTTTGATGTGCTCTTTGCCGAACTCGTCACGGAGATAGAGGCGGATGCGCCGGAGCTGCAGCTACCGCCCATCCTTCTGGAGCCGGGCATGAAGATCGTCGACATCTCCGACAATGAGTAGCTAGGTGATCGACGTAGTACGTAGGTTATTTTATTTGCATGTCTATGGATTTAAGAATCTAGAATGAGAAGTCTGGATGCAATAAGTAAAATTTGAGACGTGCCTACATAGGTGTTTGAGGGGACATATTTCTGATATGTGGTTGTAGATGCTCTTAGAGCATCTCCAAGAGCCACGCAACGAGCGGCGGCGCGCTAAAAAAGCTTTTTACACGCGGCAGGGCCCTGGCTCCAGCAGCGGCTGCAAAATATTGCACGTGCGACATGCTCCAACAGAAGCTGCAAAAACATGGCGCGCGTGAGCAACCAGAACAAAAACTAGTTCACCAAATAGATAAAAGTTCAACGCTACAAATAGCAAAGTTCACCCAAACAACACAAATCCGATACAAATACCAAAGTTCATCAGAAACTAGAAACAACGAGGACTACTCCGAGTCGTCGTCCTCCTCCTCCTCCTCCTCGCTTGTGTTGTCCAACGTATCGAGGAACACATCTTCTCACCGATCGTCGTTGCCGGAGAAGAATGATGCCGCTCCCAGATCGCACTGCGATATCGCCAGTGCCTTCCGACGACGCCCGTCCGCCCGTTCCGCGCGCAGCGTTGCCCTCCTCTCCGCCGAGAAGGCATGCTCGTTGGCGACGTCCTCCAGATGGCGCTGGCACCATACCGCCATGGCTCGCTCGTCCGCCTCGGCGATTAGTAGGCGGCGCTGCCGCCGACGGTGTTCCTGACGGTCAGCATTAGTTATTAGCCATGACGGAGGGGCGACGGTCGGCGTCAGTTATTAGCTCATTTCGAACAACATCATGTGTGTAGGAAAATGGATACTCATTTTGGTTTTGGGAAGGCGGATACATTGATTTATTGATAGAAAGAAACTTAATAGACGTTCATGCACTCCTTAGTACAATCGAAGGCAATGAAGCGCCTGAATGTGCAACTAGAGGGGAAGCAACGTCTACTTCTTTAGAACCAAAGAAGAAGAATGAAGAATGCAAGATCAAGAATCCGCAGATCAACAATGAGTGCATGGAGAAGATATTGCTTCAACTAGTGGGAGCAGTTATGGAAGTTGGAAATCTTCTAAAAATGCATAATTGTGGTTCTTGTTTTCTTTGGTCTTGCTATTCTAGCAAAGATTTGGTGATGTCCTATGTATCCAATGTTGTTGAAAACGCAAAGAAATGCATTATGTTGTGTCAAATTGAGATGCAACTTTTGGTTTTGCGGGCCGGGGGAGCGGCGCCAGACCAGACCCCGCAAAGCCAACCCGTAAAAGAGGATATTCGCGGAAGATGCTCTTTTATGGGTCGGCTTTGCGGGGTCTGTCTTTGCGGCCGTTCGCGCCGGCCTGCAAAACCATTTTTTCCACGAACTGCAAACGCGTTTTGCAGGTCGGCGGGATGCTGGGTCTGCTAGAGATGCTCTTAACGAGAAGGCTCCTACATTTCACTATAATTGAGACATGGGGAGCAACTAACTTATTTTTGTGGGAGGAGGGGGAGCAACTAACTAAGGGGTACTACTCGCAGGAGTCCCTTAAAGGACAATTTTGGTTGGCTGGGAGCGCGCCAAGGCCGCAAGGTGCATGTTGGGCGTTCTCTTAGAATTTTTCTTCTTCTGTTTTTTGGCTTTTCAGTTTCCGCGTAATTTTCCTCTCTTTTTTTGCTTCCAAGGGAGTCACAGATTTTGTTCGCAAGGGGGATAGCCCTGCCTCTTAAAATACAAAATGTATATTTTTTTTCTCTTTTTTGCTTCCACAAGAGGCACACATGGTTGTTTCTACAAGAGGCATAGCTGAAGAGGCACAGATTTGCTTTGTGACAGGCACCGATTTTTTTTTTTTGCTTCCACA